GTTGAAAATGGACTGCCCAGCGGCGCACGAGCCAGGCCGTGCCCCTCTGGTTGCCCCTTGTGGTGCAGGATACGTGGGCATTTGCGGCCGGCGTTGGGCTGCGGGAGTAAGTGGCGCATCTTTATTTAGGGTTTGGGACATTTAGGGAACTAGGGTGGCAAGACTGGAGAGACTGTTAGGTTTACGCGAGCTGGCGTTTTTAAAGTTTATGTGTTTCATGAAGAGATGCCACCTATTTTGATTAAATAATGCATCCTTCCTACAGGCGCTAGAGTAGATCAGCGGATAATAGCGATTCTAGATCCACCCCGCCGGGTGGTGTTGAGGCAGCTCTAGAGTCCAGAGCGCTGGGCCCCCCGGGTTCGCTCTCACTCAGGGGTCTGTCATCTAACCGGTTGAGTAGCCTCCGGCAGTTTGCAGCCAAGTCTCGGGCTTGGGCACCCCTGGCCTTGGTCATTCTCAGGGAAGGAGGATCTCAGCCACTCACTGGGCACATAGGGGCCTTGTCGGGGGAATAGTAGTTTTCAGGACAAAATGCATGGAAAGAGGGAGAACCCATCTCTTTTGGGAGCTTTGGGGATAGCAGAGGGTGATGAGGCAGCAAAGGTGGCCACATGGGAGAGGCCCTCAACACCCAGTATAGAAGTTGCGAGTTCATCTGGTAGGGAGCAGAGGAGAAGCCTTCGAAGAATCCGGCACAGACCTCAGTGTTGCATAGATCACTCTGTTGTGTTTTAGGTGGACAGTTGTAAGTGAGATCCAGGAGACAGAGTCCATAGGCCTTGGAGGAGGAGGTGCTGGATGGGAGCAGCAGCAGATACTTCTTCTGACCAGCATTAGTGGCAGGACAGCAGTTGGGTCCCTGAAGTTGGATAGACTTGTATTCCCAATTTATACCTTGGTTGAACTCTCCCAATCTTGACTTGTCACCTGAAATAATCCTGCCTAGCAGCATTACAGGAAGAGCAGGCAGTGTCTGCATAGGGCCTGGGGTTAAGGTCTTGATTGTGCCTCCTTCTGGCTATTGGAAGGCAGCTGCTGGGCCTTTGTTATTGGTGTTTCTGGGTGCTGTTTGGTGTTTTTGTGGCATCTGCTCTGTTGGGCCTCTGCCTGTTCATCAGTTGCCAGCATTAGGCTGGTGTCCAATAATATCCTCTCACAGAGGAACAGAGGAATGTGACCACCTAATGACAGATAGACCTAGACCTAGAAAGGATTCAGTCCAGAAGAGTCTAGACCTATTTGTCCTGAGGTTGATTCTGCCTCTTAGAGACACTGAGAGGTGGCCCTCAAAGCTTCTGGCTGGAGATACTGGGAGAGAGGTGGGTGCATAGTGGTTCCACCTGTAACTCCAGGA